ACTTTATTTAATTTACGAAGGTATTTTATTTCATTTTAAAATGAATAAATCAAGTGTTATTTGGGATTTTTTTCAACTTGAAGCAGTTAATATTCATGTAAAGTGTGGACTTTGTCGTATAAAATTAAAAAATAATCATTCTTCGACTTCAAATTTAACTAGACATATTAAATCTAAGCATCCATTAGTAAATTTTGACGATTGATGACCCAAATATTACTCCATCAACTTCTACTTCTGTAAGTTAAATCTATATATCACAATTCGCATGATTCAGAATTTATTGATAAGACTAAATTCAATTCTTAGTCCACACTGAGTCATTGAGTCACAGTACCATGGCACACCGATTCAGCTCATTCAGTTCACCTAAAAGAGTCAACTCGAAGAGTTGACTCACTCACGAACTACCCATCCCTAAAACGTATACTATGTCAATTATAAAGGCGAATATTAAAATTTATGGAAATATTTTCATTGCATAATTTAGCTACATTCATTTAATTTCAGAATTTATATTTAATATAAGAAATGAAATAATTAATTAAATCACATATTAATAAACGGTAGCACAGTAGGGTCGTTGCATACTGGGACAATTATAGATGATATGTGACAGTGATTAATATCACTATCATAAGAAACACTTCAATGCAAATCTATATTAGTGTTTAATTTTCAAATTTTGATAAATTATTCAAAAAAAAAATGAAATCTTATTTTCTTATTATATCCTGATTAGTAGTTCTTAGATTTAAAAATATAACTATGAATAAATATATATTATAGCAATTAAATTAGTATGAGATTGATATTTAATAATTTAGTAATGTAATTTTTTCGGAGCTTATAAAAAAAGTATTAATTAACTATATTAATTATACGTAATGAATTTTAAAATATTATTGATACATGGAAAATGTATATGATTCCTATTCAATTCATAGGTTTATACAATAAATAAAATGAATAAACATAGCATACCTTAATTTTATTATGAAAATTATTTATTTTTTATAATATACGTACAACAACAGCATTCAACTTTTTTAAAAAAGTTCATGTTGAATTTATATAATAATACATTTGTATTTGCAGAATACACGTTAAGCTAACGACATGAAAACAATGGCAAAATAATTATCTTCTCACAGTGATAATTTAATGCGAGCTCAGAAGGCTCGCGTTAAATTTCAGTTTTTTTCTCGCTAGACCACTAAAGAAATTATCTCAGTGGTTATTAGTAAAGTTCCAGATCGATATTGTCCCCTAATCGAGAACGATTAGATCTCGCCAAAGCTGAAAGTCATTAAAAAGAGTATATCATCTTGAAAAAAAGCAACACTGTTAAAAAAAAAGTTTTACATTTTGACAATTTTATTATTATATCTTACTATATAGATAGAAAATATTCAAATAAAAAAAATTTTTGACTATCGATGATGTCGTAGATTTTACCAAGTTTTATTTTGTATTAAATTTTGGAGTAAAATCCGTCGCGGTTATAGTAATCTATGGTATCAGATTGTCGAAGCTGTTCGAAACAATTATTACTTTGACAAATGTCGAAGCATTATCAGTTCGAGGCAGGCACGTAGACAAGGGTGGGCCTGGGCCCCCTTAGATTTAATGTGGCCCAGGGCCGGCCCCCCCAAATTTTAAACTCAATTATTTTTACGAATTATCAAAAACGTGCTAGGCCATTGAAATTATTATTAATTTGTGATTACTATTGAGTAATATAGTTATTATTATGGCTGTATTTTCATTTTTATATTCATAGAAAACGTTATTTGAAAAAGATAACGTTCTAGACGTTGGAATAGAAATTACTCCAAACGTGGTTGAAGGTAAATTTTTTTTAACTCTGGTCCAACAAATGATAACAAACTACGAAGTATCTGCATTGATTAGAATCTAGTTGATTACAAAATTCGATAGAGTATACTCTATGAAAATTTTTTTGATAAATCTTATCTTTAATTTGTTTCTTTTAGCTTCGATGCGAAGCTAAGAAGGTATTGGTTTTACTAAGATGTGTTTTTTTTTTTTGTCTGTTACCACTTTTTCTAAGCTCTCACTGAACCAATTTCTTTCAATAATATGTCAAAAGATCACAAATTGTATCTAGTCGAAGACATTACCCTTAAAAATTGAAAAATTTTCCCTCGTTCCCCGTAAATGGGGGAAACCTCAAAAAAAAAAAAAAAAAACACATCTTAGTAAAACCAATACCTTATTTTATAATTTTTTTTTTGTAAATCTGACTCTTAATCTGCCCACAGGGGGGATTTAAAATGACAACTTTTTCACAAAAAATTAACTATTTCAACTTAACTTTTTAAAATGTTCCGGAAAGTCTGACACTTTTATCTATATCTTAAATTAAAGCTAATGTAATATACTATTTTATTTTAAAAAATGTCGGACTTTATTTTGTCTTCACGGTGAAAATAGCTACCGAATGCTATTTTTGTGTAAAAATTCTCGATTTTGTATTTTACATTTTTAACCTTATAATGATATAAATTTTTGAAAAATGTATGGATCAGCACAATTTTTTTATGAGAAATAATATTTTTTAATAATCCCTTTTTCATTCTTTATCTTAATCAGGATATTAATAAGGAAATAGCAGATCATGTAACTTTTGGATTAATTCACCAATTTTTTAAAAATAAACACAAATTTTGAACTTGTAAGATTCATAGAATAGGATACTGTCTAAGGAGGAGTGGAGGGAGCCCCTCCCACAAGCTTTTCATGGGAAACAAATTATGGAAAATGATACAAGGGCCCAAAAATTGTTGGCCCCTCCAATAAACATTTTCTGGCTACGTGCCTGGTTCGAGACAAAGATTCCTAATGAAAACAATATATGGAATCGTCAAATTGTCGTCTACGACACTGTATAGCTAGTCTCGCTTACTATATAAGAGTTTAATTACAGCAAATAGCTTCTTAACCGACAGTATATTACATAACTTACAAATTAAATTGTCTTTAAAATAAATTAAAAATATATAAATCACTTTATGTAAAACACTATTATGTTGTTATGGGGAGGATATGATTAAATTATACCAGATCCACAATAAAAAATTATCATTATTTTATCAAGTGTCCAGTTAAGTTATCATGTAACCTATAGGTAAATTGTGAAGAATTAATTTGATTACACTATGTAGGAGATAATTTGAAACTTTTTACGTTTTCCCTTTCAGGACGTTATACTCGTTACAACGTTAATTGATGTGAAATCCTCTACATTGTGAGCCACTGCAGTTCAAAAATGCTTGAAAATATACTGAAGAGAAAAGTTTTATTTAAATTTTAAATATTTAATTATTTAATATTTATAATAAGTGTCTCTGGATGACCTATCCAGAGACACTTTGTCTTATACTATAATAAAATTAAAATAAAAAATTTTGGATTAAATGTTTTTGAATTTCTAGATTTAAAACATATTTAACATATGGTTTTCAAAAATATTCTTTACATATTTCTTTAATTTTTTGGTCAAATAACATTTTATTAAGTCATTAATAATTAATATGTGTGAATAATTTGTGCATATTTAGTTCTTTAAATTCTCTACAATTTTTATTTGCTTTCGCAATTAAATCGACTAATCACGACTCCGATTCTAAGTTATGCGTTAAACGAATAACATTATAGTAAAACCCATATATTTTACTGCTCTACCAAAATCAAATTTGTCTCGTAAAACATTTGAAATACAATTTCAGTTAGATAGTGTATATTTATTTTTTATTTTATGTTACTAAAGGTTTCTCAAATGTATTTTAAACATAATATAAATTAACCATAATAAAATATGAAGTAGCCATTTATAAAATTTACCTAAGTCTAGAAATCATGTAGCCAATTTTAATCTTAAGAGGTCTAGATCCCACTTAGTTACGCAAATTATCAATATTATCCTACAACAGCGCCATAACAAGGTATTTCCTTAATGAAAATAATTCATAACTATTATTTTCTTATTTTTACATTATAAATCTATATTTTACATTTTTTGGGGGTTATATTATTAATTTTGTATCGAAATCCATACTATTTATCGTATTACAAAAAAATTTGTAAATAAAATGTACTAAACAAAATTTGAAAACTACTTTTACAAATAGCCCTTTTAACAAAAAAACTTAAATAAACTACGAGAAATGTTGTAAAAAACTTTCTTTAGAACAAAAATATTTTTAAATTATGCAAAACTTTTATTTTTTAAATTAAAAACATAATAGTTCATTATTATAAAACATTTACACCGACTAGACACAAAACAGATTAAATTAATCTAGTCTTTCTTTTTTATAAAATCTATAATTTAATTTTTAAATATCGTATTAAAAATATATATTTTTAAGGTAATTCCTAACATTATTCTAGCTTAATTTTCAAACAATTATATTATAGAAACTTACATAGACATTATTAATCGGGTTCAAAAGTTTAGAACTAAAATAATTAAGCTGAATTATTACTTCAAAAAATTGCATGTAGTAAAATTATTACATATTTAAGTTAATTAATCATAGCCAAAATATTGTGTGTATTAATTTGTTAATAAAATACATTTTGCATTTAAATGCACTTAAAGCATTTCAAATGCTTCTAGGGAAAATAAAAAAACTGAGCATGACTGTGTTTTAAAACTTATTCCGTTAACTAAATTATGGCGCTCAGTTCAAGTATAGCGGACCTATTGACAACATTTCAGTTGATACAACGATATAAAACAATAGCGTTGACATACACATAATTGTTATATTTTTATAGTTATGGTTCGTTTTATTAATTTACATATGCTGATTTGGACTGTTTATAATGGTATGTAATTAGAATAAATAGATTTTTTTTTAAATTAATCTTAAAATTATACACTTTATTTATTCAGAAATATTGTTGTATAGTATTAGGAAAATCAATCAAAAGATATTGAATAATACACTCGGAAAATTAAATTCTCTTTAAATGTTAGATATTTCGCTGAATTTTTAGAGCATTTCATAAGTATTTTACTTTAGATACGAGTAAACCAAAATGTTAGGAAGTCTAATCTAATTCTTCCATCATTAAAAGAATTATTTATAAAAGTAAGTTTCATAATTTTTTGAATGGCTAAATCCCCTTCAAGTTACGCTTATACTAACTACACAAACAAAAAAATAAGTATATAAGTACGGCTAGACAAATCTTTGTTTTAAAATTCAATAATAAATATAACAAGTACTTTTAAGTTAATTATAGATAAAAAACAAGTACATTCATAGAATCAGGCAAAATGAAGCATATTAATTTTGTATAATAATAATAAATCTTCTCTTTCCCTTTTAACTCCTAATTATATAACACTATACAGGGTCATAAAATATAACAATATTTGGAGGAATTTGATTAATCAAGGATAGCTTTACTTAATCATTCTAAATTGGAACACTGAAATTCAACATTTAAAATATAATGGTAACAGAAAATACTAACGTAGTTTTATATAATATTTAAAACAAATGTGTAGACATATTAATTATGCGAAATGTAAAAATTTATCACTTAAATACTTTTTTAATAATACAATGTACAAAAATAATACATTTTTTAACACCAAATATTATTTTAATTTAAAATGGGTGCACTAGATTTAAATTTAAGCACATATTTTTTTTTTATATGAAAATTTATAATTGGAACGTTGTAAATTTTAACAAATTAATTATGTATAAGTTTTATATATTACTTAATTATTCGAAAAAATGTTATCAGATAGACCCATAATACTTCATGTTTTAACAATTTTTTTTATTATTTATTATTTAAAAATTAAAATATTTTGGACCTGTTTTTAATTTTAACTTTATGATTTATGTAATGATCCAGGTTAGAGTAAGCTTAAAAATCTTAATGGTAAGCAAAGTTCAACATTATTTTTCTAAATATACAAAAACGTCATCCTTAAAAACTAACGTTGTTCCATTGTTCATAACAATTGACCTGATTCCTTACTTATTGAACTCTGTATAATTAGTAATTAATATTTCTATATTTATATTGATAAAGTAGTTTTAAATTCTAGAATAAAATATTTCTGTTAGAAAAAATTATTAACAGCTGATTTTATTATTTAAGTATTTATTTATAAATTAAAGAAATTAAAAGTAAATGCTAAATATCTATTATTTATACTTACCAACAACTACAAACATACTAGACACTAACTGTTTCATTTTAATTTTGAAAATGCAATTTTAATCATATGTGAAATTAATTAGTATATATTAAAATAGTTGTTTTATCATAATGAATATATTACTTATAGTAAATGAAATAAACCTAATAACAAATTAGCTACCATTTTTATAAAACACATTCTGCATTACTGGATTATACGTTGTACTCTTGAAATGGCCCCAAAGTAGATTTTTAGCGCATTAAAACGTGTCAAGGGAGTGTACAAATTCAAAAAGACTAGGTTGTTTACATACACGATTTTTAATAAAAAATAATTTTATTTAAAGTTATAAGACTTCAAAAATGGACAATATTCTCTTTTCTTAACTAATTTATCAAAAAGTCGACTATTTAGGTTATAGATAATTTTATCATATAAAATTTAATATACCTCTACACCCAAAACGTGTTTTCTTTTATATTTTTAAAATTATTTACGTCTTTTTTCGGTGTATTCTAACAAAGCCATCTCAAAATTAATTGTTTTTACTTAAACGCCCCCTTAAACTAAAAACATACCATCAGAAATTAAACATTCGATCAATACTTTAATGTGGTAATGTTATTTAATTATTACATAGACAATTTATTCAAATAATGTTAAGTTAATAATTTCAATTTTTATCATAAAATTAAATCCCTATAATATGATTAAAATTTAACATCTATAATTAATTTTTTTTTACTAATTAAAACCCTTATTTTTTTTTATAATAATACGAACAAAAAAACTAAAAAGTTAACCAAGTTATTTTTAATTAAAAAGGTTCAATAATAACTTTAAATTAAAATATGAATTTAAAGTAAATTTTGGCTTTAAAAAATTGTTTTACTTGTGAAGAAATATTTTTAACTTTTTTATTCAAAAATGAAATACGTTACAAAATTAAAAAATCTCCTATATTTTCATTAATGAATTAATAACTTTTACATATATACACTGTAATACAGTTTGGTTATAGTTAATGTAAAATATTACAAGACTAATTAATTTTAGGTTTACAAATTCTATTTTATGAAAGTTTTTATACCATCATAAAACTCCTACTAAGTATTACTGAGCAAATATTGATTTTACTTGGGGTTAGTTTTAAGCAATAAACTTAGATAACAAAAATATACAATGATTAAATATTTTTAACCCGTTATCTCTTGTTTTTACTTGTGGTTAATTAAATGAGAACTTTATTAAAGTTCTTTAAAATATTTTTAGCACATAATCAATAAATGACCACATGTATTCAAATTTATAGGTGTACTTTATTTATGCAAGTTTAGTATTAAGTAGTCCTTTCTTCCTATTCAAATTATTTTGGATTCTAATATAATTTATCATAGTAAATCCAGAAAAATCATTTATTATTAATAATAAATTAATTTTCTTAAATTCTATTTTAAAAATATTGTCGAACTAATAACTACTTTTACTTATAATACTTACTTTTCCTGAATAAATAAATAAATTATTTTCGTACTTTCTTATCTTTTATTTTTTGTAGTTTTTTCAAATAGATTGCATTAAGAAAATTATTTTCTTTACGTGTCAGAAAATAGTAAAGAAAAAAACATGTCGGAATTTATTAAATTTCTTCAGTATTTATAAGCCTCATAAATATTAAAATTTTGATTGGGGAATACTTACATAATTCAATTTTAGTCAGTTAACTTAATAGTCGTTTTGAAACTACTTACTTAGAATACTTTTTTCCTTCTTCATTTCTTGTTAGAGATGATATTGTCATAAACTTTAAATAATTTGTTCTTTAACTAAATTAGATATAAAATTAATTATTCTAAAAATAAATTAATAATAATTAAATTTTTAAAAACATCAACAATTTACATATATAATTGCTCTAGTATTTAACTTCACATTAACTTTATGTATTTATGTCGTGACCAGGTTCAATATTTTGTAGCGGCCACCTAAAGAGGAATGTGACACCTGAATCTACGTCATCACAGGTCAGTTATAATGTTAAAAGGTTACCATAACATTCGTAAGCAGTCGTATTTAAATTATATTGTGAAATTAACAAGATGTGATACTGAAGGGATGTATTCAAAATTTCTTATTGGGTTATACACTAAGAACACTTTTTTATATCAAAATAGCCAGATATTAGCACTTTTCTTATAAAAATGATTAATAGGTACATAACAATTTTAGAACGAGTAATTATTGAGTTAAAAGTATTTTAATACATAGAGTGGCTATGTACACATGTAGATTATGTTTTATAAAAATACACCAGAATGAGCTGTATCCATCAGAAAAATCAAATAATATAAACAAAATTTTTTAAATACGATTTTTATTTCATTTGAATAAATCTGATGATATAGAAAAAATCAATATTACCGTTTGAAAATTAAAAGTTGATATGAGTTAGGGTATAAGGGATGATATCATTAGATTAATTTTTCGTAAAAAACAGCTCAACAATGATCTACTATTGTTCAAAAAAATTAAGTAATGATTAACTCTAATATTTTTGAAAATATTTTGTGAAACATAGTTAAGGATTCAACTTGTATGTATATATAATTTATTTATAGTTGATCATTAAAATTCTCCTTAAATAATAATTATTATTTTGAATTTTTTTTATCTAGTATTATTTATTTAATTATCAATTACTTTTTCGGTTCATCCCTAATACCTTATAAGGGTGTTAACTTTATTTTTGTAAGTTATTTATTTTACAACTTCGTTTTGAATATTAATGTCTAGGGTTTAAGACTTTATGCATTTCTAAAATTTGAATGGATTTCTTCCTAGATCTGGGTTCTATAAAAATTTGTCAAAGGTATACAGTACGGAATTTTGTTTAGAGAGAAGTAATGACCACGGCTCGCACCCTTTACCAAACTAAAATCCTAATTAATATTATACATTGATTAGGATTAAAAAAAAAACAAAAATGAATATTTATTTAACATTGATGTTTTCGAGATATACTTGATAAATAAAATAAACTTTATAAATGCATCAAGTCCTTTACTCTATTAATGACACTTACAAAAATGACTTACTACTTGAAAATTTTCTTTAAAGTATAGGTTTATAGCCAAAAAACCTACATCGTATATACAAATGCTGATAATTACTTTAGAATTGCCGATCCTATACGCGGTCATAATTTTGAAAAAAAAAAATTTAAAATTGAAGACTATTTTTACTCAAATGTTTTTAACATAACATCACCTGGTGGAATAATTTATGTTTCAAATAGTTTTCTATTGAAGCAAATTAATCAAACTAATATCACGTGAGTAATCAATAATATTCTTTATACTTGATTTTGAAAGTGATTTTAAGGAGATTTTTACAATGGAATTTTTCAAAAAATAACTATAACAAGGGAGTTTAAGGCTAGTTGACATACTTTGTACAATTTTTGCTCTTATCTACCCCGTTAACGGGTTTTATTGATACAATACTTAATACATCAATATTAAAGGTTGAAAAATTTATTTATGATTAAAAATATACTATTAATATAATCTTATTATTCATTAATATTTAATAATTTATTAGTTTTTAAAACATTCTCTCTCTATTATTAAACAAATAATAAACTTAATAAAGTTCAAAGTAATAATTGTATACATGAATGTAGTCTTTAAACGACATTATTTAGGTTAAATTACATTAAGTAATAGGTTTTAAACTAAAATAAGCCTAAAATTATATCTTTTAAGCTTTTGTTTTAAGGGGACTACTTACGTGTATTGATTTTCCTCTACTAGCATGTATCAACTTAGTCCGTTTAGTTTTTTTGATAACTTCAATTTTTTTTTTAAATAATGGAATTTTTTTAAATAAATTATTATTAAAGCGATGAAAAATACATATCTGAAACATTATTTTCAAGCATTAAAATTTATATTAGGGATCAAATTTCATATACTACTATTTTTTCCAAAAAAAGCTTAAAATCTATTTTTTTTTTTTTGGGTAAATTTTACCTTAATATTTAAAAATACATCAATTACTCCTTATATATTTAATTTAAAATTTTAAGAAATTATATTTATGCAATTTAAAAAAAATAAAAAACTAATCTACAAAAATAATAATTTTATTTTTTATTTTTCAAACAACTACCGTAAAAAAACTTATTGTTTTAATAAAGTTTTTTAAATTTCTTGGGCAAAAAAAGATTTTCTCTAAAGGACTTAAATCATGTAGCCAACATACTTAGCTTTTCTACAGTAAAGGAGACCGAAGCAAATTAACATAGATCAATTACTTATAAAGAAATTTATATAGAAAAATCTAATTGGATGGATGACTTTATAAATCATACTTTTTATGAGTTCTTTACATATTATTTAAGTTTTAATTTCTGTAAGGAATCTACGAAGATTCATTAATTTATCTGAAATATTATTGATACGAGAGTAAATTATATTAAATGTGTGTTAAATAACTTCGATTTCTCTTAGTTGTTTAAAAATAAAAATTTTTTTTCTATTTTGTTAATTAAATATCTTAAATCAATCCACAGTACAAAATTATAGATGAACATTATTAAATTTTTTTATACTTCTTTTTCCTCGTCTTAATTCCAACTACTTGGGGTCGGCCACCCTTATCTTAAACTTCCATTTAGCACGATCTCCCACATCATTTACACTCATATCAGCCGTCCTCATATCGCATTCAATACGTCCCGCCATCTCTTTTTTGGTCTTCCTCTACCTCTTCTTACATGAACATTCTTTTCTAGAACTGTCCTTATAGATTCCGATTCCTTTTACCTCATAACATGACCAAACCATCTAAGTCTATTTTCTCTCATCTTATCCACAATACGATATTTATACAAAAGTATAAATATATCATATAATAATAATATCATGTATAATTCACATATGATTTATTTTTTTTTGTTCGTCAATGTATTTTTATTATATTTTAGGGGGGTAAATATTATTTCCATAGGATGAATCCTTTAAAAACCTCTCAATTTATTTTTATTAAGACAATATAAAATAAATGCATGATAATATTGTGAGACTTAATGTAGCTTGAAAATAAGTTATGAAAGCAGACAAAAAATTGAAATTACAATACGTTTGGTGAATTCATCTACTGAAAATTGTCAGCAACCAATGACACACTGTGCTGACATAAATAAAGACACAAAATCGTCATGTATGTCTTCATGTGGAATAGGGTAATCATTACATATCTTTTAATATATTTGTAAGAACTTTAAAAAAGTAATTTTATAAAATATGATGAAATTTATTCATATATGTTTATACTCTTTAAAATATAATGTAATTATTTATTAATATAAAATTATAAGGAAAATTACTTTTTATTTCATCTTTCTAATTATTAAAAAAAAAAAATCAGTTTATAAAAACTTTAAAATAACAAATTATTCGTGGGGTTTCCTATTTTATTTCGTTACATAATCGTCAAAACTAAAAATAAACCACACATAGGGCTCTTAATGAAATTTCAATACAAATTGATAGGTGAATTTTATTTCTAACTATATGTCAAAGTTGACCAAAATTTATAAAAAATGAGTGACCCCTCAATTTGTATGAGCATTTCATGAAAATTACAGAAATGGTGTTACTTTATATTTAAATAAAATTAGAAAGGACAAGCGGAAAACACTAATTTTGTAAATAGGAAATTTTGGTTTTCGTTTTCACTTTTCTTAGTCCCTACTAAATATCATCTTACTACTCGTGACAGACATTAAAGTAATACCCTGTATAATATTCAAATACTAATAATGGCACATTAAAAATATGTCACTGATGTTATTGTAAATAGTGTTGTAAGTTGATTTTTTACGATTTTAAACAATTTAAGTTTTTAAGAAAATTATTTTATCTATTATTATTTATTATAATACATTCTAACCATGAAATTAAAAAAATTTAACATAATAGATCTCCATTGAAATGTCAATGGCGAGAATCTCCGAATCCTGATGTATTGTCAGTTAATTATTCAACTTGTACACCAGACATGAATACTTGCCCTGACGGATTTTGTGACACTTTAGAAAGAAAAAACCTATTAATATGCCCTCAAGATTGTACTGGTATTTTTTATGAAAAATAAATATTTAATACATTGATTTAAAATAAAAAATCTAAATAAAAAAAAAACAATTAGTAGTTGGTAAATTTAATTTATAAAAATAAATATATATCGTATACAGAAGATGTTTTTGGTACTGGAATGATGAAGGGAAAACGAGGGATATATACTGCGACTGGAGTTTGTACTTGTGATGATATTGGAAAGTGTACTTGTGAAAAGAAAACTAAAGGTGTATTTAAATCAAAGAAAATAATACCAGAATATAAGTATAATAATACGCCTTTAACAACAGGTTAGCTACATACAAAAATTAACCATTTCATTATTTTAAATTCCAATTATAAACGTTCTATTATTACTTTTAATATATTATTAGGTATTGATTTGTGCTATAATAATTGGTGTGATAGAAGCATCATAATCAGTGCAATTATTCTAATTTTATTTGTGACCACTGGGATTATTTTATACTTCTGCCGGAGTAGGTATGATGACTTTATTTTACTTCATCCAAAAGGTTAAAAACGTATCTTAGAATTATTTATGAAAATTATACAAGTTTACATTGTGAAATAAAAATATATAGAACCTAGTGGAAGTAACTATTAATAAAAGACAAACAAACTTCAATATTATGTAAAATTATTTTTTAAACATTATAATTTTTATTTCAATAACAGAATTACGTTTTATTAATAGTATTCTTCTACTACACTTTTTGTTTCAGGGTAAGGATTGGAACAATTTTTTTTAATATTATCTAATGTGAAATAAAAATATCTATTATGTGTATTTGAATTTTAACAATTAACTTTTATTATTATTTATCCACATTTTCGCTCACATTGTATGTAATAAAAACTTCCTATACATGTATGTGAAAATGGGGAATTTTTTTTTGTTAAGTTTTATATTTATTGAAATGTAAAAATAATTTTAAGAATGGGAATGATTTTAGTTGCTAAAAAAATTTATTCTAATTGTGCCTATTAATAAAATTCTTATTTATTACACTTTAAATTATATTAATGAAAATAAAAAATATCTAAATAATACTAAGAAATAAATCAAACATTTTAGATTTTCAAGTATTTTTCATAGTAAAAAATTGAATAGAAATATGAGAGATTTAGGTGGATTGATTCCAAATCGCGATCTTGGTGATTATCAGCATAGTCCAGGAAATAGAGACACTTCATTTATCAATATGGTAAATCGAATATTAAATAGATTTAAGTTTTATAAAATATAAATTCTAGTTTCATTTTTAAAGGAATTTGATCCAAAATGGGAATTTCCTAGAAGTAGACTTATTGTTGAACAAATCATAGGAGAAGGAGAATTTGGAAAAGTTTTAAGAGCACAAGCTATAGACATTTTTGATAAAAAAGGTGAAAAACAATATTTTTATTATATGAAAAAGTTATTTAAATAGGTATAGAAAAATTGTTTCGATAATGTAAAAGTACTTTACGCGAACTGTTACGGATATGAGGCATGACACGAGCTCCGTTTGCTGAGCGAGGGATTAATTTAATAAAACTAAAAACAAATAATTTAGTTATAATTATTGGATCAGATAAGATATTAACTAATATTAACTAGTTCAACTAGTTTGAATTTTTTAATTTTAAAACCTTCCAATTAAATTTGAGATAAATGGTTTTTCCAGCTATTAAGATTTTCCTTTAAAGTTTAAGTCACCGCACCTTTTTCAGCGACGGTCTAATTATCCATATTGAATATAAAATGTATTTAATTAGTTATTTGCTAACCTTTTATGAACTATAAAAGATAAATCTCCTCCTCTCTTAGAAGAGGAGATTTTTATTGTCAATAGAACCTTAAATTATTTTAATAAATTATTTAAAATAAATTACTGTAAAAACTATTAATAAATATTATTATACAAGTTAACATAAATTGTATAAATATTACGTGAACAATTGATGAAATATGTGAATAGAAGAAAGATATTCAATTTTCAAACATGATAGAGTAAATTTCCAAATAATTTTAGCACAAGTTTCCAACTTTCTGAAATCAGTCTTTATCCTTTGTTATTTAATTTCCTTATCTAAAATTTATGCTCTTGTGTTTCAGTCAGTTTGTTGAAATTATATTATACTTATGTACATATTTGCGCATATAAATGTTCCCATTTAAAATACTATATGCTTAAATGTATTCAACCCCCTTCTGAATTATACTGAATTATTATTAATGGTTTGCATTCCAATGCCATTTTATGACTTTACATTTTTATTAATAATATATTTAAAGGCATATCAACAGTCGCAGTCAAAACTGTCAAAAATGGATCCGACAAAACAGAAAAAGATGATTTGTTATCTGAGTACAATTTATTAAAAGAAGTCAACCATCCAAATGTTGTCAAACTATTAGGAGCTTGTACGACACACGATGGCCCATTTTATTTAATAATTGAATATGCTAAATATGGTTCATTAAGGTGATTTTGCACTACATATATACACCTTTAATTATACTTACTAGTTTTGAAAGTTTATTCCGATATTAACAAAAATAAATGGTATTTTGAAAAATTCATTAATCGTAACAAAACACTTTTTTGGGTTACTTTTTACAAAAATTCAATAATATCTTGTATTAGGGAAATATGGGTCAAAATCGATACTTTAAGATTTAAATATTCATTACTTATTATCTAATACAGATAATGATATGGATTAAACATTTGTCATTTATCACATATTTTAAGCAGTTATTAAAATTAAATTTTATGTAGCATTAAAATTTAAGATTTTATTTGTTTATCAATAACTAATAATAACTACTTTTTCAAAACTTGTAATTTTTTTCATTTTGTCTTGATTATGAAATCAGCATACAGGCGCTCTGTTCAAGGGTGACAACTTGGGACTTTGTCCCAGTCTACTTTTTAATGAAATCAGGGCCTGTAAATTTGCACTCTTGCTGAGTAAGCCCATTCCTCATTGTAAACCCACTTATAATAATCTAAGAAATGTAATGAAAACAAATTTTTATTCGATAAAAAAGAGGCTTGATATTTCATATTTAATTATTTAAAATACAAAATGTACCAATCTTATTAACAGTCATTATCTTTGTTATTATAATCAGAAAAATACAGATTCGTACTATACTGTTAAATACAAAATATTATATCTCAAATAGTTGAGCTTTAAAATAAAAGAAAAACTTCTCTGATTATTTTTTTATAATATTTAAATCTTCGTTTCTAATATTACATCCAAACATTTTTTATGTGTAATTTTGAAACTTACAAACATACGTTAAACCAAGTATTCTGTTAACTTTATTTATGGTACTAGTCTTAACAGTTGGTAAAACTTTACTGAAATTTTTTATAAAATAAATGTATATGCATAACACACACACATACACATATATATATATATATGTGTGTGTGTGTGTGTGTGTGTGTGTGTGTGTGTGTGTGTGTGTGTGTGTGTGTGTGTGTGTGTGTGTGTGTGTGTGTGTGTGTGTGTGTGTGTGTGTGTGTGTGTGTGTGTGTGTGTGTGTGTGTGTGTGTGTGTGTGTGTGTGTGTGTGTGTGTGTGTGTGTGTGTGTGTGTGTGTGTGTGTGTGTGTGTGTGTGTGTGTGTGTGTGTGTGTGTGTGTGTGTGTGTGTGTGTGTGTGTGTGTGTGTGTGTGTGTGTGTGTGTGTGTGTGTGTGTGTGTGTGTGTGTGTGTGTGTGTGTGTGTGTGTGTGTGTGTGTGTGTGTGTGTGTGTGTGTGTGTGTGTGTGTGTGTGTGTGTGTGTGTGTGTGTGTGTGTGTATATATATATATATATACAAATTATGTACATTGTATATCATTTTCTTTATGGATCTAGATATACTTTCATAGGAACTATTTATTTAATATCTGTCATGATAATTTTTTTATTAAGTGTAATAGGATTTTTAGTTTCAATGCGACATTGAGAAGGTAATAATTTTACTATGATGTAGTTCTATAATATACTAAAATTCTGGACTTAGTAACTTAGATGCTACAATTAAAATATTTATAACTATATTACGTATAGTTGTATTCTATAATAAACTAATATTCAAAAATATTCCGGATCTAGTCACATTGTGCCCGCTAATATGTGGCTGTATTTCATTTTAACGGAGATTTTTTTGGATATTATTATTTTTTTATAAGTAAATATTCGTTTTTTCTAATTAGTAATAATCTCAAAAATTCTAATTGCAGTTTTGAAATCAGAGTATAAATTGTATTAAAAAAGAACATTTTTATCCCTAATGTTAATTCCTTATAGACCTGTTTAGACCTAATTATTTTTAATTATTTTCTGTAATTTTTGCATCAAGCTCGTCAATTTATAAAGACGTTTGTCATTGAAATAACTAAATATAAAACTGCCTTATAATTTTTACAATTTCTCCATAATTATTAATATAATATAATTTTTTAAATTATGTAATAAAATTATTAAATATCAATTTCAAACTAAATTTTATTACTATAGTAATAATGATTTACATATTATACTTACAAATCAAGATATAATTAAGGAAATAGGAATTGATGTTTTTTTTTAATAATCTAAATACAATAGTCCAATAACTTTTGATAATATTCCAGAAAACTCCAGCTTAAAATATATATTGAATTATAACTTATGTTATACTCTAAAATAAAATTATTCCGACACCTCAATTACTATTGCAAATGGCCGCCGAAATTAAACAAAAAATGTAAATTTTTTGTTGACATCATTGTTTATTGTGTTATTATTTTAATACTTAAAACTACCAAAACTTTTAAACATAAACGAAACAAAATATTTATTTTTATATTAATACCTTAGATGGTTCTTTTTCATTTGGTATAAACTTTTTGGAAATCTGAACCTTTATCTGCACACGAGGAAATTCAAAATACCAATTTTTCATACAAGTTTAACTAACTTTTGATTAGTCACATTTTCATAGTATAAAATAATATAACATGTATTCAATGTCTTTAATAGGTAATATAAAATATTTTAGTGTTAAAAATAAAAATTTACCTGTTTCCTTATTATTAATAAGCATCATGCATATTAGATTGTATAATCTATCATTATTTGAGTTTCACATTAACAATTAATTTTTAGATCATATCTTCGGAAAAGTCGAATCATAGATAAGAGTTTCGATGGTATAACATCACAAACGGGTGAAATACTTCAAAATGAAATAAGGCAATCTTTTGCGTTACCGTTACATCCCATAACACCCAGAGATATATTAAAATTTGCATGGCAAATTTCTAAAGGAATGACCTATTTGGCAGAAATTAAAGTAATATATTTTTAAAATAAATTATCAATTTAAAATATAATTCCTTATTGAAAATAAAAATTACAAACATAATAACTTACTTCATTTAGTTAGTTCACAGAGATTTGGCTGCTAGAAATGTTTTAATAGCTGAAGGAAAAGTATGTAAAATATCTGATTTTGGCTTAACTAGAGATGTTTATGAAGATAACGCTTACTTAAAAAAAACAAAAGGAAGAGGTTTGTTTTTAAACAACTACAGTAATTTACTTTAAAACGAAACAAAAAAATTAACTATTAATGTTACTTTTTAAACTTACTCATTGAACATAAAAAATTTAAAGCTTCCATGAAAAACTACAAAAATGTTTCTAATTAATTCAGTTTTAATTTTTAGTTCCTGTTAAATGGATGGCACCTGAATCATTATCTGATCACATATATACAAGTAGATCAGATGTTTGGAGTTTCGGTATATTATTATGGGAATTAGTTACATTAGGATCAGTTCCATATCCTGGAATAATTGTACACGATTTATTCAAATTACTAAAAGAGGGTTATAGAATGGAAAAACCTAACAACTGTTCAGATGAACTGTAAGTATTTATTGTTATTGTCATATGAATACTTGACAATTTATAAAGCAAATATTCATATATTTACTTAATTCAACTAATTTATAAAATATTATCTATTAAATATAAATAGTTTTAATTGCCAACTAGTATTAAATACTCTAGGCTATAAAAATATAAACATTTAAGTATGAAAAAGTGCTAATGTTCATATTATTCTTCAATTACTTCCTTTAAATTTGTTGAATTTTGAAAAATAATTAACAAAATTAAAATTAAATTATAAAATTTTAAATCAAAATTATATCATGATTTTTATGATATGTAACATATGAAATATTTTATTTAAAATAAACACACATTTTATATTTTTCTGTATTTTAATTGATTATATTTTTATAAAATAAAAATATAATTAGTAGTTATGTATAAAGAGTTTAAATGATAAATAAAATATTAATTATCTATCTGTGTTATATCTATCTGTCATACATTTTATTAAGATAAAATTTAAAAAAATACATAAAAATTATGGTTAAAAATTCCTTGTCATGCAAGGATATGTCTTTACGTTTGTAAGTGATTTATAGTGAAAATAAAATTTCAGTATGTGAATTGATAGATATTAGCCATCACTAATACACATAACATAATCGGTTAAGCTCTAGCAGATTCTCTCAGGTCACTTTTATCTCTTTAAAGGAATTGGACTAGGAAGTGTATCACAAATATTACATTAATTGTGTTGTACACCAGAATTTGATAATTTATATTTAACAAACATTTGCTATGTATTATGATCATAATTTTTTTTGAAAGGTAATTATAATTTTAACAAGCTGTTAAAAAAACTGTCTCTTTTTAAAAATATTTAGCTATGAAATAATGCTGAGTTGTTGGGCACAAGATCAGTATAGAAGACCTAGTTTTAAATCACTAACATTAACTTTGGAAAAAATGCTTGAAAATGGAAATGATTATTTACAATTAGACTTTAAACCATTTGTTAATAATATGTACTACTTTATGAAAGGTATATTTGATACTTTCATAGAGATAATAATGTAAAATACAATACTGAAAATTTATTTTCTAGATGATGATTTGGAATTGAACAAAAAAATATGTATACAAAATGAAAACATTGACGATCAGATGTATGAAACACCCAAAGAAATAAAAGAAATTGGTCTACCATATTTAACAATGAAAGATTTTGTTTTTGAACCACAACTAAATACACAAATTGTATAACAAATGAGAACTATTATTGATATGTACTGATTTAATTAGATATTTTAGTTCTCAATATAAATGTTATTTTTATATTTGTTTAAATTTTAAGTATTGAATTTAAAATTAATTTCCTTAAAAAGCTTATGTTTATTTTTACTTTTAGTTTCGAAGCTATTGGTTTTACTATGTTAAATATTTTTTTTTTTTTACGTACTATACATAATTACTTCTATCAAACTCAACTGATTTTGCTCAATGGTACATCAAAAGATCACAAAAAAAATCTATTTGAAGCCATCAACACTATAACTTTGAAACCTTTCTACCAATTACCGTAAAAAAGTAAAATGTCCTAAAAAATTACAGTTATTTTAAAATAGTCAATGTTGATATTTTGTTTTTTTTTTTTTTATTGAAATAATTTAAAACTGGACTGATTATTGCACAGTTTTTACTGATAACTCTTTAAACATTTGCCAATTATATACTTTTTTTGAAAATCATCATTAAAATTACTAGGACCCTTAAAAATCATAAAAATTTTTTTCTTCAATTTATAAAAATGTTTAAAAAATTTAATTTTTTTAAACCTACATTAAATTAGTGATATTGTGTACTTTAAAATAAAAAACCCAGCACAAGGGGGTCGTAGCACAGTTGCATAGCTGGAACAAGTATAATGATATCTGACAGTGATTAAAATCACTATAAAAAAAAAGTACTGACTTCAATCTATTTATTTATTTTATAATCTTATAAAAATTGTTAAACTTGAAGTATTACTTCACTTAGGGATTAAAGGTGATAGAAAGCATTGATACTATAAATAAATATAAACACAAACATTTGCCTACTATCAATTGATGCATCCTTTGCACACTTAAGTCAGTTAGTTCCCTGCTTATAAAGTGAAAACGGCTATATTCAGAGGCATTATGAAACCAAACACAAATCAAAATATGAAAGTATCAAAGATAAGGCTCGTGAATCTCAGTTATTAAAAAAAAAATTCGCGGACAAAAAGTTCGTGCAGAGACAAAAGGTGTCAATAGTATGTTTTTGCGACAAGTAAAAGGAAAGGACGATATCGTTACAGCAAGTTATAAGCTTGCAAATCTTATTGCGAAAGACCAACAAAAGCTTTATAGTGTCGAGTTTATTAAAAAGTGCATCATCGCAGCTGTTGAAGAAATCGCTTTTAAGAAATGCTCTGCATACAAAGAAATAAGTCTATCTTGACCCACCATCACTCGTCGCATAGAAGACATTGGTAAAAATATACAAGACCAGTTGCAAACAAAAGCAGAACAGTTATCTTTTTTTTCTTGGCTTTGGACGAAAGCACGGATATTCGTGATACAGTGCAATTATTCATTTTATTTGAAATAAAGCATTTATCAAACCTTTCTGCTGTTTTATTCAAGTTCGAAATCTAAATTCTAATTTAAACTCGAGGTAGCATAGAACAGTGCCGTGGGCCGCACGTTGGTCATGTCTGTTCTAGGGTAATGATTTCAACAAACCATCAGTATCTTGTACAATCAATCAAATACTTATCTATCTAAATTTAAGATAGATTCTACGATCCCCTTAGTGACATGTCATAAATTATCGTTTTACCAACAGTTTTAACCTCTTGATGTGCTAAGGTAAATTTTCGAAATACACTTATTAAATAGATAATCCAATAGAAGAATTAAAAATATTCTTAATCGGAACAACTCATAAAATACAAAATTAATTGACGTCTTAATTCTTAAACATTTAAAATTAAAAATTAAAAAAGATTAAGTTATTTTTTTTTATTATTATTAACATTACTTATGATATTTAGCACTGATTATTTTTTAATATATTAAAAATCAAAATCAGTAATAATATAAAAACAATTTTTTATTGTTTCTAATTTAATATCGTTCCTGATGACAATACAATATCTGCATTTCTCCTATTACTAGTGAATAAAGATATTGTTAACCCAAGTCCAGGACTTGAAGTCCTTTTATTTTATTAAAAAAAATCATAAATTTATCTCCAAGTTGGGGATAAAGTTATAGTTGGGGTCCCGAACTATGCTTTATGTGCTTAGAGTGAGTTAAGCAAAACTAATTTTGTCGTATTTACTGCAACCCTGCTTATTGCGTGTTGTACGAAATATTTTCAAGCATTTTGGCTAAGATTATTATTGAAATGTGGTGTTGTACTTTTTTTTAAATAGGTAATAAAAGTTATAAAAAAATTTTCTAATAAAATAAAATTACTCGTCAATTAGTTCTAAAAACATATAACAAAAATTCAATGTAAGTACAAAATTTATTGATGTAATAGTGGTCACTGTAATTCAATCAGATCCATTCTAGAAGGATAGAAATTTTTCATTGACCGGCAAATATTAAATATGAACTCCACAAAAAAAATTTTCGCTTCATGATTTTTTGATAAAAATAACCATAATTTTTTGAAAAAGATTAAAATAATTTTATATTATTAATACCTTAGATATATTTAATTTATTTGGTGTATTTTTTATTTTTAACCTGATCCTTAACCTGGCTATAAGAGGCCAGTCAACGAAGGAGTAATTTTGGCGAATGGCGGAAAAAATTCCCAACCAAATTTTTTTTTTTTTTAAGTTAAATTAAGATATGACATACTAAAAGTCCTCATCGATTGGACTTGAGCTTTTTTTTACAGCTTCGCAAAAGTTAAACAATATGAGCTTTTTTAATTTTCTCAAAAAATATTTAACTTACAAAAAAATGTTTCGTGTAAAAGTTGTTTAAAAGACAATTTAAAAAAAAAAAGATATCTTATATTTTTTCATTTAAACAAATATTTTTCGAGTTACATTACATTTAATATGAGTACTAAAATTTATTTTCCATTTTTTTTCATTTTACGGTTACTTTTTATCATGTTATACTTACATTAGACACAATGTTATAAATGCATATGTGTGTATGTGTGAGTTTATTTATTTATTGTATCATTAAAGTGTAGTGTATATTAATATACAAGCGATAGAGTAGGTAATTGATTTGACGCTATAATGTTTAAACCCAACTAAACTTCCACATCTACGCTCACATCACCTGTCTTCATATCGCATTTAATAACATCCCCTAATCTCTTTTTTGGTCTTCATCTACCTCTTCTTTCTTCAACATTCATTTCTATAACTGTTTTTACAGCTTCCGATTCTTCTCTCCTCATAACATGACTAAATCATCTAAGTCTATTTTCTCTCATCTTATCCACGATTGACGCTACACTTATACTTACTCTTACATGCTCGTTCCTTATTCTATCTTTTCTAGTCACTCCACTCATCCAACTAAGCATTTTCATCTCTGCTACACTCATTCTCTGCTCTTATTTCTTATCAACCGCCCAACACTCTGAACCATACATCATAGCTGGCCTCGCTACAATTTTATAGAATTTACCTTTTAGTCTCATTGAAATTCCTTTATCGCATAAGACACCAGACGTATCTCTCCACTTAAACCACCTGCACTTAATCCTGTGTGTTACATCCTCGTCAATACCACCGCTCTTTTGCATAACTGACTCTAAATGCTTAAAAATTTCCACCTCTTCAAACACGTCCTCGCCTTTGTCACTGATCTCCTCATTTCACCTACCTCATGTTCTCTTTTGTCAACCCAGCCAGAATTTCTGGTAATGATAAAATTAATTGTCATAAAGTGTCTAAAATTGTCTTGTTCTAGTAAACTGTAATTGATGGATGATTTCTCTACTATAAAGTTATTTGACAAATGTATGAAACAAAATTTTTTTCCATTTTCTTAATCATTTTCCTATTCTAAATTTTGATAGAATATATCTTCAACAAAAGTACAATTTTCTTAATCTTCAATCTTTATTTCTATTGAATTTGTACGCCATTAACCTTTGCAATGTTCACAAATAATAGATCAATTAAGCCATGTTTTTCGGAAGCCACAATTTTTACCAGCTCCAGCACCTGACTAAAGGCCGTTTTATGACAATTATCTTTATTATTAGCAGAAATTCTGGTGGAAATTGACATAATATAATTGTTGTTTGGGAATGTACAATTTAGCGTTTAGTTGGATTTAAACAATATAGCGTCAAATCAATTACCTACTCTATCTGTTGTATCTTAACATACACTACATTTTAATGATACTATAAATAAATAAACTCACACATACACACATATGTATTTATAACATTGTGTCTAATGTAAGTATAACATGATAAAAAGTAACCGTAAAATGAAAAAAATTGGAAAATAAATTTTAGTACTCATATTAAATGTAATGTAACTCGAAAAATATTTGTTTAAATGAAAAAATATAAGATACNCGAAAAATATTTGTTTAAATGAATAAATATAAGATACCTTTTTTGTTTAAAATTGTCTTTGAACAACTTTTACACGAAACTTTTTTTTGTAAGTTAAATATTTTTTGAGAAAGTTAAATAAGCTCATATTTTTAACTTTTGCGAGGCTGTAAAAAAAAAAGCTCAAGTCCAATCGATGAGGACTTTTAGTATGTCATTATACATATCTTAATTCAATTTAAAAAAAAAAATTTGGTTGGGAATTTTTTCCGCCATTACTCTTTTGTTGACTAGCCTATAAAACGTAGAGTCGAAAACGATACAATTAAATATTATTTATATAATATTTTTATTTTTTGGCGAATAATATAACTAACGGACCATATATTGAAGCAATTGATAAGCAATTAAAACTAAAATATTGGAATTTTGTAACAACGAACGAGATGATTTATGATTATCGATATCTAGTTTTGAAATATTTAACAACCAAACCATATGGTAACTTGCCCCGGTTTCCCTAATTGTTCAGACATTGTATCTATTGCTAAATAAAAAATCTCTAAAATTAAACGATTGAGTAAAATTGAAAAACTTATCTAATATATTACATTAATTGTTATAATTTACAAAATAAATTCATGTATATTAATAAATAATTTACTTTTACTGAATACAAAATTTAATTTAACAAGATATTCACCTATAAGGTTCATAATAATATAATTATTACTGTACAGAAAATTTAAAATATTTCAATGGTATACTTTAAGTTATTGTTCTTCATATTATAAATAATATGTTAATGTAAATATCTTTTAACTTACGGTTGAAAAAATACAAATAGTGAACATGACATACAACCCATTGCTATTAATGTTTATAGTTAAGCACTACTTTTCGAAGAATTATGGTATTTTTAAAATTGAAAACTGTTTATGACCTAAACCATAAATTAAAATACAATGATAATGTTTTTTCATGGAATATAAACTCAATTAAATTTTCATAAAACGATAACTTATTCAAAATTTATTA